TATATAATTAATATTAAGAGATAGTTATACTTTTAAGATAAGCTATAAGTATTAAGGAGGCTAAAGTATAGTAAAGGAAAGGGGGCTAAGAAATAAGATATACTTTAAGTATAGATAGCTTAATAGATATATAACTTAATAGTAGTAAGATACTTTAAAAGAAAGGGGACCCTAGTAATATTAGCTTAAGAATTCTTTTAGCTTAGCTAGTCGGCGATAGTAAGGTAGCTTATCGCTAACTATAAACTATATAAGAGTAGGTATATATAGAAATAACTTTAAAAGGGACTTTTAAAGCCCTTATTACTACTATCTTAACTATTTATATACCTATTAATAGACTTTATAGTTAAACTACTATTAACTATAATAAAAGGTATAAAGTATATTTAAGTAATTATAGACTAGCTAATAAAGGTAGTAACGCTTAAAGTAATATTAATAATAAGGGTAGTAGTATATATAATAAGGTTCCTTTAAGCTTACTTTTACTTTTATAAGATACTAAGGTTATTTATATTAAATAAAAAGATAAACTAAATAAGAAGCTTTTAAAAAGAGTTTTATAAATAAATAAAAGTATAAAGGAAGTTAAGTTTAGTATACTACTTATAGATAAATAAGTTAACTAAGCGCGCGAACTAAAAAGTATAAGTATACCTTTAAGTATATATTTACTATAGCTAGGATAACTAAGGAGTATAGCTACTATATATATAAGCTATACTAAATAACTATATAGCGTTAATAATAAGTATAAGCTTATTCTTTATAATATATAAATATAATATTAATCTAGTTTAAATAGTAAGGGTAAAGGGGCCGCTAGCGCTAAAAGTAAGAGGGGTAAGGGAGCTCGCTTAAAAGATAAGAGAGGTAACTAACTTTTTATAAACTATTATTATTATAGTATAAGTAAAATAAAAGGAAATAGTAAACTAAAGGAAAGCTTTTATAAAGAGGTTTAAAGTAAGTAATAAAGTATAAGTATATAACTAACTAATTATATAAGAAGCTTAACTAGCTATATTAAAAGTATACTATAATAAAGGTAGTAAGCCTATATATAGTTAAGCTTAATATACTAAGGAGGGTATATAAAAAGCTTTATATAAAATTTCTTAGCTAAGCGGTAAAGAACCTACTACTTAAATAAGTAGTTAATAACTACTAACTACTATTAGTAATTAAGGAAGATAATAAGCTTAAGTATATTATTAAAGAAATCTAATAAGTATAGTAAAAGTAAAAAGGGAAGGGTAGATAGTAATAAGTATAAGAGATAGAAGCCTTAAAGGGATTTAAGAGATAATAAGGAAATATAAAGGAGAATAATAAAGGAAAGGTAAAAGAAAGGGACTAAAAAGAAGGTAAAAGATAAAGAAAGGAAAATAAAAGATAAAAAAGAAAAAAAGAAAAAAAACTAAGAGTTAAAGGACGCTTATTAAATAATAAGAAAAGAATAAAGAAGAACTATAGTATTAAAGGGAAATAATAATAATAAATTAAAAGATATATATAAGATAGATAGTAATAAAAGATAGATAAGGATAAGGATAAAGGTAGGATATAATAAGATAAAATATAGAAATAATAAGATATACTAAGGATACTAACTTAATTTTAACTAACTATAAACGCTTTTTAATTACCGCTTAATTACTCTAAGATATTAATATATATCTAGGCTTAGTATATAAATATAGCGGCGTAGGTAAGCTTAATATACTAAAATAATAGTTAAAGATAAATAGTAAGATAAAGTTAAAAGGGAAATAAAGTATATATATAAGGGTCGCTTTAATAGTTATTAAACGTCCTTTAAGATATATAGTCTTAGAGAGCATTAATAATAGCGATTATATCCTTAGTATACTATTATTATATTAGCGTCTTATTAAATAAAGTTAAAGGAAAGTAATAAATAAAAAGGTAGTATAATTTAATATAAGTATAAGTAAAGTAGTTATAAGTATATAGCGACGCTTAATTTTAATAAGTACTATACTATATCTTAACGTTTAGTAATATTATTTAGCCTATATAGGTAAGATAAAGTAGCCGCTATATAGTAGTACTATAGGTTACGCTACGTTTACTAAGAGATATAGGTAAACGCGTTAACTAGCGCGAGGGCGGTAAAGTATAGTCGCTTAGCGTACTAAGAGGCAGGGTACCGCTACGCTAAGTAGAGAAGCCGGCGGGTATACGAGGGCCTATAATAGTTATAATATAGCGCGGCGTAGTAATAAAAGTTAGGTAAAGTAAGGGCGCGCGCGTAGAAAGAGTAAAGCTTAAAAAAGGAAAAAGAAAGGAAGAGGGAGAGGGGAAAGAAGAGGGGTATTTATAAATAGCGGGGTATATATATAGTTAGTAAGGTATAAGGGTATATACGCGGAAGAGGGAGGGATAGGACGGAATAGGTATATAAATAGGCGGTATATAAAGGGATAGGGCGAGCGTAAGGTAAAAGGAAGCGACCGCGTATACTAAGGAAAAAGGAAAAGGTAATAATAAAAAGGTAGTAAGAAAGGAATAAAAGTACTACTAATAAAAGGGGGAGAGTAAGGGTAGTATTATAAGCTATACTTATAGAAAGCTAAGGTTATACTATAGCGACTATACTAAAGTCGGGCTAAAGTAAACCTATCCTTTTAGCTATATAAAGACCGTACTAAGGTTATAGGCCTTATAATATATAGCTATACTATAGATATAAGCTACGTTAGCTATAGTAGTAAGAAAACCTTATATAGCTTAGCTAGCCGTAAATAACCTTATAGCGTAAGTAGCGGTAGCGCTTTATAAAGGAGCTTTATATAGCTTATAGTAAAGTAAGTAGCTTAAGATAACGGTTTCGAGCTAGGGATATATTTATACTTATTTTATAGTATAATTTAATAGTTAAAAAGCTCGCCCTATATTACTTACTAAGGCTTTAAAGCTAGGTAGCTAAGATTATAAAGTTAACGTAAGCTATTAAGGGCCGCTAGCGGTAATAAGCAGCTAATAAAAATAAGAAAGGGATATAACTAGTATAATATAGCGATTTATATAGGCCCGCGTTATTAAGACTTTTATTATAGCTTTATTTACTAGTAAAATTATATACCTTTTATAGCGGGCTATCTTAATTAGCTAGTATCCTTACCTATAACCTTAGTATAGTCTTTACGTAGCTAAAGGGATATATAAGTAGGGCTTAACCTAAACTTAGGCTAAATAGTACTTAAATATAGGTCGAGCTAAGGACTAAGGAAAATAAATAACTATCGCGACTAAGATAGAGTTTTCCTCCTTTTCCCTTAGCTTTAGATAAATAATTATTTAGCCCTATACTACTATACTAAGTATACGCTAGCCCTTAATAGTAATATACTATTATATAAATAGTAGTACTCTCTTTATTTAGCTAAGAGTCCTTTAAAATCCCTTCTTTTAATTAACTATATTATATCTTAGTTATTAAAGAAAAATCTTAAGTATCTTAAAGTACTTATTTTATACGTTACGCTTACCTTACGCGGGGGTAAACCTATATAGTAGGGCCCCTCCCTAAGGGGGGCCCCTCCCTTACTAGCTCGGGCGCTTAAGTATATTATTTTATAGTTAAAGCTATCTAAGGGTTTTTAGGGATTTTTCGCTTAAAAATTAATAAAAAAATAGTACTTATAAGATATTAATATAAGATATTAAAGTACCTAACCTTTACTAATATTAGCTAAATAGAGATTTAGTCTTAAGTAAATAGTAATACTTTTTTCTTTTAATATAAATTATATATTTTTATTACTAGCTTTATTTATTATATAATATATTAAAAGATAGATATTAATAAATTAAAAATATATATTAATAATCTTAGTAATTTATTTTTAATATAAAAATAAATAGCTATTTATAGTATTATAGAAACATAGTATATTTTAACCCTTACTTTTTATACCGACCGGAACTTTTATTACCCTATTATCCTCGGCAGTCCGCGTAGCTAAATATCAGGGGTTATGCACGGCGAACCTATGCATATACCTAACTAAGTGCGACGTCATCTAACATGAAGGTTGAGATGATGACAGGTACTGTACGTGACCGTAGGCCATGCTTGTCATCGTTCCCCCTGTTGCTAACTAACCTCGGCTGTTGAGATGCTGTATGTACTATACAGTACATATCTGAAAGCCCCACCAGACCCTGCAGAACAAGCGAGCATGTGCTTCCCGGTGCATGCTCCTGCGGCGGGTCCATCTTTGATCTTTGGGACCTTGGTCACACTGCCTACCTTGGTGCAGCACGCATTGCAAGTCAGCTAGGTGCTCCTACAGCACCTAGTGTTTATGCAGATGTATGCATGTCAAGTTTGGAGATGTGTCTCCCGCGAGTAGATTGAGGGCCGCTGGTGGTTTCTAGCGGTCGAGGTCGAGAAGTCCCGGCCGGATCAGGCAAGCACCTCGGACGAAGAAGATAGATACGTATGTACCCACCTGGGCAGGTAGATAACAGGTACAGGTACCTGGTACCCAGCCCACGTTACCGTGACGTGCTGTACCTCGGAAGCTGGAGGCGGCCGGCATACGTCGGCACCCCCGGCCCTCCGTGGCTCAGAAGCCGACAACTTCCCGACAAATGACCAGCTTTTGCACATCCGAGGTGCTTCTGTCCAATCCGCAGCTTCTCCTCCCCGTCCATTATCTCGCGCAGCGGCTCTGATACTTCTTCTTGCCTCTCTCCCTCGACATTCTGCCTTGTGCAATCGTCAGCCAGCCACCGACGGTCGACTTGGGCAGATCATCACCCACCCACCACACCGCTCACCAGCTACGCTGCCGTCGCTGTGTACAGAGAGTCCCGGTTTCCCATCAAGCCTGCCATGTTGACGTCCGCCGCACGCTCTCACGCATTGAGGATAAGCTTTCGACGAACCAAGACGCCGCCAGTTTGTCGCCTTCCCCCAAACGCCCCATCAGCAGGACTGACCACGGCGACAGCTCATTGCCGCCATGGCCCCAGTCAAACGCAACAACAGCTCACTACCTCCAGGTACGGTCCTCCCACCCATCCCCCTCTCCTTTCCGCGGCTGGCAGCAGCAACTGACTGGTCGCATCCCGCTAGGCTACGTCGAGGACAAGTCCAGAGGTCCTACGCTGAGATTCCAGGACTCTCTGCCTCGCCTGCCCGTCCCCACGCTCGAGGAGACCGCAAAGAGATACCTCAAGTCCCTCCATCCCCTCTTGTCCACCATCGAGTTCGAGGCCAGCTCCAAGGCCGTGGCCGAATTCGTCAAGCCTGGCGGCGCTGGGACCAAGTTGCAGGAAAGGCTCGTCGCCAGGCGTGAGGATCCCGCCACCAAGAACTGGATATACGACTGGTGGAACGAGGCGGCCTACCTGGCCTATCGTGATCCCGTCGTGCCATACGTCAGCTACTTCTATTCACACCGCGATGATCGCAAACGCCGCCAGCCGGCCAAGCGAGCCGCCGCCATCACCTCTGCAGTCCTCGACTTCAAGAAGCTCGTGGATGGCGGTACGCTCGAGCCTGAGTATATGAAGAAGCTGCCCATCTGCATGGATAGCTACAAGTGGATGTTCAACGCCTCTCGCGTCGCTGCCCGCCCCGCCGACTATCCCGTTAAGTTTTCTCCCAACCACCACAAGCACTTTATCGTCATCCGCAAGAATCAATTCTTTCGGGTTCCTCATGAAGTCGGAGGCACGCAGCTCAATCCCTCGGAGCTCGAAATGCAGTTCAATCGCATCTTGGAGGTCGCTCAGCGCGTCCCCGCCGTGGGCATCTTGACTTCGGAGAACCGTGATGTGTGGGCCGACGCTCGCCAGCTCCTTCTCCAGGCCGGACCCAGAAACAAGGCTGCCCTCGAGGCCATCGAGTCCGCCTCTTTTATTGTCTGCCTCGACAATGCCGCCCCCGTCACGCTGGAGGAACGTGCCCATCAGTATTGGCACGGCGATGGCGCCAACCGCTGGTTCGACAAGCCCCTGCAGTTCATTGTCAACGACAATGGCACTTCGGGCTTCATGGGTGAGCACTCCATGATGGACGGCACCCCGACGCACCGCTTGAACGACTACGTCAATAATCTCATATTCGGCAACAAGATCGACTTGTCCGACCGCGCTCTCCGTTCCGACTTACCCGAGCCAGAGCTGGTACAGTTTGATGTCTCCCCCCAGGTCCAGGCCGAGATTGACCGCGCCACCAAAGACTTTCACCACGTCATCAATCAGCACGAGCTGGCCGTCCAGGCTTATCAAGGCTACGGAAAGGGCCTGATCAAACAATTCAGGTGCTCTCCTGATGCCTATGTGCAGATGATTATCCAGCTAGCCTACTTCAAGATGTACGGAAAGAATCGTCCGACATACGAGTCGGCGGCCACTCGCCGCTTCCAGCTTGGCCGTACGGAAACATGCAGGAGCGTTTCAGACGAGTCGGTGGCATGGTGCGCCGCCATGGCAGATCCCTCGCTGGACGAGAAAACAAAGGTGGCCCTCTTCCGCAAGGCCATCGACGCCCACATCGAGTACATTACCGCCGCGTCCGACGGCAAAGGTGTTGACCGGCATCTCTTTGGCCTCAAGAAGCTCCTCAAGCCCGGTGAAGAGCTCCCCGCCATTTACATGGACCGGGCCTATGGCTACTCAAGCTCCTGGTACCTGTCTACGTCGCAGCTCAGCTCCGAGTACTTCAATGGATATGGATGGAGTCAGGTCATTGACAGCGGCTTTGGCATCGCCTACATGATCAATGAGAGCAGGTACGTGGGGTCGGCGCCGCAAACGGGACCGAACTCATCAGCCATCTTACCGCCCCCGCTCCCGTTTGCAGTCAACAGTGGCTGACCAAGCTCGCAGCATCAACTTCAATATCGTCTCCAAATGCCTGGGTAGCCAACGAATGAGCTACTTCCTAGCTGAGGCAGCCAGCGAGATGCGTGATCTCCTGACGCCTACCCTGGCCCCGCTCAAGGCCAAGCTCTGATCTCTGGTGAGCACGAGCTCGAAGGGGTTTTTGAGTTTAGGTCACGGCTGTCAGTATGACGAGTCAAGGTTATTTGTCTCGTAGCTGGTCTACCTGCGGTGGTTGATCGGGTGTCTTGCTATGACAATTGAGTCCAAGGAGTGGCCCTTGTCGCTTGCAGAAGCGTGTCTGAGCATCAACGAGGGCCAGAAAGCATTTGGGCATCCATGTGGAGTCTGAACCGTTAAGAAGCGCGGGTCAGTCGCAATCTTTGACTATGACGGATTGGATGTCTGGCAATACGTCCGGCATAGCTGGCCCTGCAACTGTTTCTGACTTATCGCCGCAAGAATTCGTCACTTCGCCCATCCCAATCTTATGCATTGCGTGGTTCGTGGTTCCCGAGACTATCCAGCGTGAGCCACAATCTCGTTCACCAAAACCCCTTTTTCTTCGTCGTAATATGAGCATATCTGCGACGGCAATGGCACTTCCTTGAAGTCGTCGTCTGGTCCGGATACAACGTTTAGGTTTATGCCGTCCGACTTGCTCGTGAAGAGCTTTGTACCAGTGCTCTCCTTGCTGAAGTAGATTTGAGCGCCGTCGACCTGATCCAGCATAACAGTGGGGATGGTGCCAAGGACTTGTAACGCAAAGTTTCGAACCTTGACGGCGTCCACGGTCGAGACTAGGGTATCGACCACGAGAGAGAGCCGAGACGAGTTCTCGACAGTGACCTGGTTGGCCTTACCCTTGATTATAATAGTTGTCTTGTTGCAGCTACTGATGAGCACCGACTGTGCCAACGAAGCCTCAACCTCGACAGGCTGGGGTTGCCCGTCATAATTTTCCTGCCTAGGTCAGCTTGCTCGTCGTGGCGTCGTCTTAACGGGGTGGCATACAATTGTCCACTTGTTCCCCTCTAGAGCTTTTTTGGAAGGCTTCTTAACACGCATGCTCTCAGGTTTGGGCTTTTTGCCTGGGGCGGGGCTTTTTGCTCGGGCGGGTGACTGCCGATCCGCGACGGTTGATCCAGCACGGAGAGAAGGATTTTTGTGCGTCATCTCTGACCTGTCGACCTTTCGCAAGCCCTCTGTGACGGCCGCACCCTTGTTCAACTCCGAGAAGACTGCCTCGAGTCCTCCGGAAGATGGCGCAGCCCGGGACGTTTCCGTCTGGACGTCCAAGACTGGAGGCGGCCCCGGCGGAGGCGGCGGCGGCGGGGCACCACCGGAATTGATAGGACCTGAGGTCGCCGACAAGGCTTTGGCCACGTCCAGCGCTGGCTCTCCTTGTGCGTTCCATGAGACACCGGAGGGAAAGTATTGCCGAACATACGCGGCAAGGTCGCGGAAGAGCTGGTAGAATGAGTGAACCCAATCAGTTTGCTTGGGGTCCCTGATTTGGCGAGTTAGCCAAGTAGGTGACAGGTATTGACAAGGTATGCCTTGCCTATCTTTGTGCTCCTTAAGCACTCTGTTTCCGAAGAACTGGGCAGAGCCAAGGCATTCGTCGACATGCTTGTAGGGGCGGTTATCGACAGTGACCCATGCCAGCATCATGATGCCATCGGCGACGGCGCTCAGCTGCGGCTGCATAGGGTCGGATCGATTTGATTCCTTGAGATCGGTGACAGCTTCGAGGGCTTCGTTGGTTGGCTTCAGGAGGTTCTGGTATGCGTCGAGGTCCGGCTTGGCAGCCCTGGTTGTTATGAGAAGAAATCTGCGTTGTTCCTGGAAACCCTTTACAACCTCAGCGGCCTAGATTTCGGGTGCAGTCGTTAGCTCGGAGCTGGGAAGTGCAGCATGGAAGCCACACGGACCTGCTGTGCAACCACGCCTCCCAATTGCTTGCTGAGCTTGGCGTATTTGTCGACCGAGGAGCTGAGCAAAACATCAAACTCATCAATGGATTCGGGAAGCGGCTCGGAGGTGGACGGTTTGGAGCCAGGGGGGCCTTTGGTGGCGGTGGAAGTATTGGGTGCCGAGGCGGCGGACTGGTCCAGAGCGGACACGTCCTCGGGGAGGTCGGTCGAGGTAGCTATGTCCTCGAGGCGAGACGTCGCAGCCTCGAGCCTGGGAAGGATATCAGCACATGTGGTGGACGAAGGTGCAGCAGGGCGCAGCTGCTGGCAGGGCAGGGACAGATGAGGGGGTCTGTCGTTACCGCTTGATGAGCGTTGTGAGGCTATTCATGGTGTTGGGCACGGCCATGATGGAAGCTCTTGAGATGAGACCAGGTGCAGGCAGACTCGGAAGTAGAAGGACAGCGTCGTCGTCGTCGTCGTCGTCGTCGCAGGGAAGCAGTCAACCGAGATGAATGCGGAAACTACCTAGCAAGGATATATGGTACAGTACGTACGTGATGAGACGCCAGTGTATTTCTGTGGTAACGATTCCCGCAAGAATGCGTTGTACTGTACTCGGTACCTGCATACAGTATAGGCGGGGGTCGAGGGCTCGCTGGTTGAGCAGAAGCGTTAACGATTCAGTACTGTATCTCGATACAACATTCCTAAGCCGGTACAGACCCGGTGAAAGAAGGTACCAACTTATGAACAGTAAGGGTATTAAGTTAGGTGTAGCAAAGATGTTTTAATATTGCAATAACATCATATCATTCAAGCTTCAATGAATAAAATTACATAATATTCAAAGTGAGTTTTTGATCTAAATCTATTATGGTACGGTGCGGGTGCAGGTTGACATTAAATTATGTCGAGTTATCTACCCCCCAATCGATAACCTCGGCCTGGTTCCCTTTGCCCTCCATCACTGCCTCTAGCTTATCCTCAACAGTAACCCACCCTTGACGTTTCTGAGAAATGGCGTAGCGAATCGGATCTCTCCATTCCAACCACCATATGTCTTCACTTTGGATGACGCATCTGCGGCCCTGCTCACCATTCTTCAGCGTGGCAAAGGGCCAGACTGCCTTGACGACCTCGTACTTGTTCCTGCCAGAAAAGAGGGTGGTGACACTTGTGACGAATGGATTGAACCTATCTGGGCTTTGGACAAGGACGCGACTGTGAGCAACGAGAAATTTCACGTCGACATTGCCACGATACTTGGCCGAGGCGACCAGGCTGCGCAGCTGGCCCTCGATCCAGGACACATCGAGATTTGCCACGACGCGGTCGAGCGCAAACGACTTGACCGTGGCAGTGTCTTGGACGAAGCGGTGGCACCATTCGTCTAGGCCGCCTCCGCCTACCTGGGGTAGAACGTCGGGGCGTATGCCGCCGCGGTATGCCACCTCGCCATCGCCGACGCAGTGAAGGTATTCGATGCGTTGTAGATGATCGTCGGGAATAAGCAGGCTCATGAGGTTGAGCTTGATGTCGAAGTCCACCCTGCGACCCCGGGTGCCACGGACCTGGATCTGAGGCTTCGGCGGCACCGTCGCCTGCGCACGGACCAGTGCCGCGAGCGTCGCCGCGTTGGTCGACAAGTACTCGGCCTTGGAGGACAAGGTTGTGGCGTCGCTCGACAGCTTAAAGAGCGGGGGAGAATAGAGCCGGTAGTCGAGTCGGGGTAGACCTGGGTATTGGGCGGGACCTTTGACGGATGCGCCATCAAGCTGTTGCTGCTGCCGCTCTGTACTAGTGGCGGTAGACGGGCCCGAGTAGGGCGGAGGCGTCATCGGCTGTCTCGGTTCGATCGCCGCCGGCCCCGGGGACCCAGTTAGCGATCTAGACAGTCTCATCTTCTCCATGATTAGGGACTGGAGCCAACGACGACTGCTCCGTCTATCTCGAATGAGCGTTGTACGAGAAAGTGTACTTTATAGTCTAATACCGTTATTATGTCCGTCTAAGTAAAAATAGGACGTGATGCCGCTGCTTAAAGCGTTATAGTAAGTCAGCACACCTAGCTTCCGGCACCCCCTACTTCCGGCACCTCCCCACATCACCATCGCGTTGACTACCTACTATATCGTGACCGCGTTTTCTCGTGCATCTCTTATTTAATAATTATAAAATAAATATTATTCGAATTAGCGATGCCTTATCTTTCTAAATATACCAAAAACCAGCTCTAAGAAGCGCTCGAAGCTATTAATAATAGTATACCTTAGCTCTAAGCTAGTCGTAAGTAAGGTATTCTAAGAATAACCCTTTAGACGCGTTTTAAAGGAGCCCTACCTATAAAGGAGGCAAAAGAGGCATCTTAAAGGCTTAGTTAAGAGCAGGAAAAACACCTCTATAAATAGGTTCTTACCTAAGCGGCCCTTAGGCTGCCTCTAACGTATTATTAACTTAGGGAATTCGCCGGCCGTATTATCGTAGCTAGTAGAGACCCCCGCCCGCTTAGAAAATACTAGGTTTCGAGCTTTTTAACCTAAAACCTAGAGATTAGTACGATTAAAGGTAAATCTCTTAATTCTACTTATATTAACGGCGCCTCTATTAGCGGGATTAAGGAATAGTTTAATTACTTAAGCTACCGGCTATATAGGTAATCCTATTAATATTACGCTTTAATATAAACGAAATAGGTATCTTTAAGGGCCTTAGCTATAACGGGCTAGTACTAAGGAGCATAGAAAAAAAGGAGGCTATTAAGAAGTAGCTTAGATCGCGTTATTAAACTATAATCGTTAAATATATCTCTATAACGGGCTAGGCCTTAACCCCCCTTATAATCTTTAAGTGCTAGGACCTTTAATAGTAATAGTTCCCTAGCAAACTTAATTTTCTAAAGGATTAGGACTTCGTTACTTCCTTAAAAGGCTAGATAAGCGATTCTATTACTATTTAATAGCTTAAGTAGGTATTTATCCCTTAAATAAGGCGCTACTTATAAGGGAACGTTCTCCTTATCGTTAATAGCTATAGGAGCTATTAGACTGACGATTTTATATATAAATGCTTTAAGAATTATATTTATCTTCTTTTTCTACTAGTATACTCCTCCTATATTCTTTAACCTCTTAATATCTTAGTTTTCTCGCCGATTAAAGCTACCTATTAATATTAGCTTAAAAATTTATATCTTTTAATAATATAGCGCTAATTAATAAGGCTACCTTCCCTAAGTATATTATTAAGCTGAGTAGGCTAGTCTAACTAAAAAGAATATTAAGGGCGGGTAGCGTAGGTTAGGACTATAGCTAGTTAATATAGTAAAGCCCTTACTAAGCTAGTTCGTTTTACTATAGCTATTAACGCTATTAACGCTATTAAAAAGAAAGAATTCTAGTACCCTAGCTATTTATAATGCCCTTAAAACGCTTAAACGATTATAAGAAGTCTATCGCCTTATTATAGGGCTAGAAAACCGCGGTTAAGTTAACCGTACGATCTAACTACTCTTTAGTAAGGTTAGCTATAGCCTTAATAAGTAAAATTAGTAGCTTATAGCCTCCTAGCTTTAAATATAGTAGCTAGAGTATTAATTATATTGTTTATAGCCTTAAAAATAAAAAAAGGTCTCTTAGGACCTTAATAGGCGGTTTATATAAATTAAATAAGTTATAAAGATAAAGAAATAGCTTAAGCGTACGCTTAAGCTAGCTACCGCCGCTATAGCTAGTTAGAACATAGGATTTAAAGCTCTTTATAATAGCTAGTAGCTAGAGTAGCTAGAAATACTAAATTTAATTATTATAATATTAAAATATAGCTTTAATTACGTTTAGAATATACTTACCTTAGTACTATAAAGGGTACTAAAAGTAAGGGGTGCTAAAAGCTAGGTATACTAACTTAATAAGTTTTTTTTTTATATTATTACTTATATATAGCTTCTAGGGCTATAGTAAGGCTAGTAAGCGAGGGCCCTTTATTAATAGTCCTAGCTAATTATATAACCTTATAGCTTATAATTAAAAGTAATACTATTTATATAAAGATATATTACTATTTATATAAAGTAATACTATTTATATAAAGATATATCGCTATTTATATAAAGGCCTTATTTTTAAGATATATACCGATACTAGCCCGCCCTACCTATTTATACCGCGTCTATATAGTAGGTAGTAGTACCGCTTAAACGCCCGCGCCCCCGCCCGCCTATATATATATATATATAAGAGGTAATAAAGGCTATATAATATATACCTCTTAATTCGCTTAAATAATATATTTCTAGGCCTTAAGCTTAAAGTTATAATAATCGGCCTATTAATTAATCTAGCTCCTTCTCTAGCCCTTATAGCTATATATAGGCGGCGGCGGCGCCGCTTTAATTATAAACTACTTAACGATCCCTCTAACGCTTAACGAAGCCGGCTGCCTTAATAAAGCCGGCGGCGCGCCCCTCTTACTACGTCCTCCTCTTAATCCCCTTCCCCTTATATTTCCTCGTATAGTCGATCCTTATTATAACGCTATAAGAGATCATAGACTATAGCTAAGTTCGTTAATTTTATTATACCCCCGGCGCCTTTAAATACTTACGTTAATCCGCCTTAAGCTAGCCTAACTTAAATTAGGTAGCTATTATAATACCGTTCCTATAAAGGAACCCGGTAAAGGCAGCTTATTATTATAGGGCTAGCTATATATAACTATAATAATATTAGGATCGCGGATTTATAGTAATAGCTCGTTAAGGTCCTAGAGGTAGTAATTAATATAAAAACTACTATTAAAGAGGGGGGTCTTTACTAATAGCTTTTTAAGCTACTATTATACTAAAATATTATACTTTTAAGCTTTAACTTAGCTTAAAAGAGTAAAGCTATTTATATAACGCCCTTTTACTATTAGTATAATAGACTTATTTTTTTAATATATACCTACGCTAGGCCCTTATACTACTTATACCGCGTCCGCCCTAGTAAGTACCTATACCTTTTAAATGCCCTTATCTATATATATATATATACTTTATACCCCTTTTACTAGTATAGCTATAGCTATATAACGCGTCTGCTTAATTCGCTTAAATAATATATTTCTAGCCTTAAGTTAATATTATAATAGCCTACTAATTAACCTAGCTATAGCTGCCGCCGCTACCGCCGCCGCTGCCCTTATAGCTATATAGCCGCCGCCGCCGCCGCCGGTAGCACCTACTTAATAGCTTACTACTTAACGATCCCTTTAACGCCCGACGAAGCAGCCGGCTACGACGATGCCGCCGGCTATAACGAGGCTATAGGTATGCCCCTCTAGCTATATCCTCTTCTTAATCCCCTTCCCTTAGTATTTCCTTAGGCGGGCAATCGTTATTAGGACGCTATAAGGGACTAAGGGCTCTAGCTTAGCTTATCGATCTTATCTTAGCCCTAGTACTATCGTATACTTACGTTAAAGCGCCTCGAGCTACCCCTTAAATTAGGCAGCCGCCGTAATACCTTTATCGCTACTATTACCGCTACTATTACTTTTACTAGCATAGTAGCCGCTACTATTATAACTTACGATATACTAGCTATAAGCGAGCTAGGTATAAGTAACTTTACGTTATAGGGCTAGCCTTATATAACTATAATAATATTAGGATTATAGATTTAAAGTAATAGCTTATTAAGGTCTTAGTAGTAAGAATTAATAAGAAACCTATTAAAAAGGGGGGGGGGTATTATTAATAGCTTCTTAAGCTACTATTATAAAAGAATATTAGCCTTATTAAATATTAAGCTAGCTTAAAGGCGTTTAAGGATAATATAAGTATAAGGTAGCCTAAATTAATATATAAAGTTCTTACTATAAAGCTATAATAGCGTTAACTCTTATATAGATAAGGGTATCGCGGCTATAATAAGCTAGTACTATATAATAAAAAGGTTAACTACTTAGTATATAACTATAATATTAATATCCTTAAGCTACTACTAGCTAAGAAAGAGATACTATTATTATATTACTTACTATAAAGCTATTTATAAGTATAAGATTTCCTTATTTCTAATTATTTAAACGAGGGTATTATAAAGGTATAAGAGGTTAGCTATACCTATAAGTAAATATAACTTTATATCCTTATAAGTAGTCTTAACCGGGCTATTAACCTATTAACTAAAGTTATAATAGTAATAAATATAGTACTAAGCCTACTACTCTTATAAGGGTATATATTCGTTTAAGATATAGGTTATAATATAGCCTTAGTATTATTTAAAGACTTTATTAAGCCGCTACTATAACTTAAAGAAATCCGCCTTTATATATATAAAGATAACGCGCCGCTAGGTAAGTAATATACCCTTATAATTATAGTTAAGATCCCTATTAAGGTTAAGCTTTAATTTAATATTATTATCTACCTTATTAGCTATAGCCTCTTAGGTAAGGATTACCTTAGCCTTTAAAGGTATCTTAAGATTTAAAGGATTTTCGTTACTATTAAGATTTATAGTATCTTTCTAGTAAGACTAGATTTATACCTAAATATTACCGCTAGTATAAAAGATATATAGCTATTACTATATATAAAAGAAGATACTTAAAGAGCCTTCTTTAATATAGCTTTTTTATTAGTAACTATAATACTAAGCTCTTTTATCTTAACCTTAATATAAAGATTATTAAGGGATTCTAAGAGCTATTAATAGCCCTCTTCCTAAGTTAGCTTCCTAGTTAAATATAGTAATATAACGGTAAATAAACTAAATATAGTACTAAGGAGAACTAAGGATATAAAAATAATATAGGTAAGAAACTAGGGCCTATAAAAGAGATAATAAATAAAGAGGTAAGAGGAGATAAGAATAAAACTATAGGGGGAGGGCAGGTATATATATACGCGAGCTAGGCGCGC